CAATCTACCAGCAATAAGTTGACATTACTATTATTGCTAAACAATACTTTCAGTTACTTAATAATAGTTATTTTTGGTAGCAAAAAGTAAGGAGTATTCACTGTTCATAATGTCAAATGAGTACACACTGTACCTGTATTTTTTGTACATTACAATGGGAGTTGTGTGATCTCAGCAGTTTTGTAAGTCCAAATACTTCTGAATATCATTTTGCCAGTACATGAATCACGCATCTGTAAAAAAAGTCTGCCGTAGAGGGATTTCGTATGAAGTGGAATGCACGCTTTTAAATTCTGACCCAGCATGTACTATTTCACGGCAGAAATGAGCTTACTCAGCTTTTCAGGTTACAAGAAAAGTAACAGGAGAATTCACTGCCACATTACAGGGGTGAAAAAAAACACTAGTCTCCTACCTTGGGTGGGAGTTCCTAAGTAGGGTTTCTCACACCATACTCTGAAAGTGACAGGGCTGGCCACAATCTGATTAGACTTGACAGGTTAGTGGTCTGATCTGTATGACAACTGCTTCCTTCCTGTGAAAAATCTGTATTGGATATATTTGTGCTCCTATGAAAATGTAAATAGGAAGTTCTATTTCTTATATCAAATAAAAGTGTCTTTGTCTGCTTCTGGAATACTAAAAAGTCTGAACTCCATGTGGCTGTAGCTGGGAATGAAAAAAAGAGAATCAGCCTGGAAATTTTCATGAAGCTCTGGAGCGTTCCATGCATATGGAAATGCTTGCAGTAGCATTAGCAGTAGGGCCAGTTTACCTCTTCTCACTGTAAAAGCTATCTTCTGACCACGGCAACTGCAAGAAAATACATTTCTAAGATGTCAGCTGCCATCTGTTTAACTTTGCAGGTCAGGGGGGCAGTGCCACCTTGTTTCCTACACATTGCCCTGCTTGAAATTCAGCGTACAGAGAGTGGAAGGGGAAACCATGCACTAGTAAGAAACAAAATTCGTTTGATTCTGTATGTGTTGGAAGAAGCACAGACTGGATATGCGGGGAAGAAGCACAGTTCACCATTCTGCAGTACTATTAATTCCCTGGAATGCTTGTACAGTGTCCATACATTCAAAGGTACTGAAAGTAAGCTGTAACCTAAGAGTATTTAACATGTTTCATTGCAAGCACAAAGCTGACATGTATTTGCATGTACTTTTAAGTTATTTTGTTCTCAGTAAAAAAAACCAAACCAACCAAAACAAAAACAAACAAAAAAATTATTTTAATGGCTACTTTTTTCCTTAGGAATCTTTTTTGTCTCAGTTTGTCCCAAAGTGGAATCTTTCCTAAATGACTCTTTCCAAATGAATGCCAACATTACCATTGTTGTCTTTTCCTTTATTTTTTCTTTTCCTTTCCCTTTCCTTTTTCCTTTCTTTTTTTTTTTTCCCATCTCATCTCGTCTTTTCTTCTTTCTTTTTTTTTTTTTTTAATATATGTTGGCAGCTTTAGATGTTATCACAGAACAACCAAGCCTGAGACACTATGGACAGGTGCTAAGCAAGATTCTTTACATAGCTCTTCTGTGACAAAGCACCTCAACCCTTGGCCTTTTGGCACCTGCTGTTCTTCTGGTCCTGCATTTCCCAGGGAGTTCTCTCTCTCATCCTTGCACATCCACACTCCCTCTTTGTTCTGTTCCTGGGCCTCCCAACTTCTTGCAATTCCAGTCCTGGATTGGAGAGAGTCTGAGCAAAATATAAAGTGATGCAGATTCAGCATCTTGGGTTGTTTGTTGGTTTGGTGTGGTATTTGGGGGTTGGTTTTTTGTGTTTCATTTTGGTTCGAGCTTTAGTTGTTGTTTTCCTAATGTTCTTTTACAGACACAAGCTGAGGTCACGCCTGTATTGCAACTTTACACCTTCCTACTTTGTGGGCAGTGGAGACAGCAGAATGGTAGCAGCCAGGATGGAGTGTTCACACTTCTTTCCCTCCACTGTGGTGTAGACGGTTGCATGGTTCAGTACAGTCTGCAGAATTTCTATACGAAGGCCACGGTCTCCCACTCATATAGCATCTCTGAGCTTATCTGTTTGCACCCACTGTTAAGGACTGTGTGCAAAAAGGAAATCACTACTATATCAGCATAACTGCTTTGGATTTTTGCACTGTCATCAGACATCTGTAATATTATTATTTTAAAAAAAATACTCATGCTCTTTTTGCATTCACTTTTTTGTTTTTAAGAAGAGTAATGACACTTGTTTGTTAATGTGGAAGGGGACATAAACTTTCTTAAGTAAAGCTTATCTGCAAATATAAATCCACAAATCCAAAGACCACGTTAACTGTTGTGTTGCCCAGCTGATCAGTGTCATGGACATAATAATCTCTTCTTCACATTCCATGTAAGAAAGCCCTCATGCAATGCCATCTGTTCGTACACTGGTAGGTTTACTTCCTACCATAACATGTGTTGATTAACATTTGTATCTCATCTTGGCATTAGACAACTGACATGCAATGAAAGGGGTCCCGAGACTGTTGGAGCCTTTTCTAAACACTTGAAAGGTACTTGCTTTTAGGGTTTCAGCCATGCAAACCCATTATTATCTTTGTAGTTCAGATATTAAACTGATGTTGATCCCATATTTTGCAACTAGACAGCTAAAAGGAGAACCAGACTCAAGTGCCCAGTAGTGAAGGTTACTGTGTTATACCAAGGATGCTCTCAGCAGCAAGACTCAGAAAGAACTGTGCTAAGGTGCTATGCTATGTAGCCATCAAGTACCACAACTAAACCTCAGAAACACATTGCCTGTACAGAGCTTTACTGACAGCAGATAGTGCAGCATGTGGCCTTCCCTGCTGATAATCACATTTGGAAATACACTTAGTGATATTATTTTTAACTCTTCCTGAAAGCTATAGAAGTACTGGTTTCCTACAGAAGCTGAAGGAAGCTGATGTCCCAAGGGGTTTTTGCTCTGAATGCATGAACTGGATCAACTCAGATGTGGGGTGTGGGTGTGTATGTAAATTTCTTAAAATGTTTTGTTTCAGTTTAAACCTATATTTTCCCTTTCCTTTACTATTACTTTGAAATCAAAATACAGAAGGCATATTTCTGTTACTAAAAAGAAGTCTATGCTCACTGCCATTTCATGGACAAAATGAAACCTTCTCCCCCCTTCATGAAAGCTCTCAGAAACTCAAAGAGTCCTGACTATAGAATGCTTATATGATTTTCCCAAAAGAAATTTTCTTCCTCACTCCTTTGTTCAGAGTCTATTTTCTTTACCTCATTTCCAGACCTAATTTTCCCTGGGTTTCTATTGCATTACGTTCTCTCTGCCCTCTCTCCCAGTCTCCAAGAGAAATGCAAACCTAATTAAAGACACATGGAATGTTTAGGCTGTATTAGTTAGAGACTGATAGAAATTGGAAAGAAAATAGGTTTTCTTGAAACCATGAGAGGTTGTTTCCAGGCTTCTCTTTTGAAAGAGATGCCACACAATCACTCCCAGCTTACATGAAGGAGATACACAAATGTGTATCTTTAATATATATACTTTTTTTTTTTTCTTACAGCTCATGTTTTGAGCACTAACAGCACATGTAGCAGTGAGAGGCCTGTCCAGCAGGCAGCCTCTGCCATGTGACTAGATGTGAACCCACTCTATGACCTGACCCACCGCTGTGCCTCTGAGATCACTGTGTCTGCAGTTGTTCATAGGGTCAGGACATTATGTTGCAGCATGCACTCTGTTCTCCCTCACATTATCGCTAATATTGAAATAGAACAGGGCTGTGTTTATATAACATGTATCTTTGTTGTAACAGAGACAAGTCAATTCTAGCAGAAGAAAAGCTCAGTCACACAGGAAAGAGGAAATAACAGCAACAGCAGATAAGCTACTTTTGTGTTGCACATCATCACCCTGAGGTTTCTCATTACCCTGCTACCAATTTTGGTCCTTCTTTCTTGATTTGAGTTGTTTGAGCAGAATTATTTCACAGGAGCAACATAAAGACACAGAGAATCAGGCCATGTGTGTCATAGAATCACAGAATCATAGAATAGGTAGGGTTGGAAAGGACCTTAAGATTATCAAGTTTCAACCCCCCTGCCATGGGCAGGGACACCTCACACTAAACCATGTCACCCAAGGCTCTGTCCAACCCGGCCTTGAACACTGCCAGGGATGGAGCATTCACAACTTCCTTGGGCAACCCATTCCAGTGCCTCACCACCCTCACAGTAAAGAACTTATTCCTTTCACCTAATCTAAACTTCCCCTCTCTAAGTCATCTAGCACACTATCCCAGCTCTGACAGTAGTCAACAGTAGATGTCTATGAGAGTACAAAAGTGGGGCAAAAAAAAACCAACCCAATTCCCAAAGTATACATGTTCAGCTAAAAAAAAAATAAATTAAAGCTGAGGATCTTTTTGAGACAAAAATAGTGTCTCTGTTTTATAGATCTGATGGGATTATCTACTGAGAATTTGTTCCAATAGCTTTTGAACATTCTGGAGTTTTGAACTTTAGTCCATATATATTTTTGGAATCAATGACATCTTTTTATGATGATATAGTGTAAATATACCTCTGTTGAAGTTACAAGCACTTAACATTCAGAAACTATTATTTTGTCATTTACAGCTCTGGACAGCACATATTTATTTATTTAAATCTCTAACTAAAGTCTGAGCCCTTTAAGCATGTGCTGCGAGGGAGAGCTTTCCACATTGTTGTAAACTGGTTTTCAGGTTTCATGATCATGTACAGAGGATGGAAGGTGAAAAGAGGTACCAAATCAGGCATTAGGGTTTAAGCCTTTTGAGGGGTAAAATGTATCTTCAAACAGCAGCCATAACATCTTCTTACAGAATAAAGTTCAAAATTTCTGCAGTTAGACAGAAACAACTTTATCAAAGCTGCAACATTTCCTATTTCAGACAGCTCTGAAAGCTAATGGTGTAATTTAGTAGCACTCCTACTAAATCTTTCGGTGATGCCACATTAGCTGAATCACCTTGAGCTGACTCAACTTTAACATTACAATCCTAATTTGAGAAGCTTGTGAGTTGAAATTTAGAAGTCCTTCCCATTACAAATTGCACATGGTCTCTTTATTTTGGTGATAGTGGCATGAAGGCACACAAGAAGCTGTTTGGAAGCTGCAGAGACAAAAGTTCATGGTTTTGCCTAATGACATATAAATAATATACTCTCATGTATACCACCATAATACACCACCCTAAAGAAACCCAAATTCAACTGCTGTTCAGACAGCAGAGTCAGAAGTTTGAAACACAGTACAATCAACTCTCTTTTTCTAACAGAACACAGAACACTTCCTTTAGGCAGTTTGAAAAGAGAAATGGAATCTTTTACCTCCACCTTAACAGAGACTCCCATGACAAGCAGCACCCTATCCCTTTCACACTGTTCTTGCTTGAGCTATTCTAGAAAATGTGTAGCTCTTTCACAATGAGTAGGGGAATGTAGCCGACAAATTATTTTCCTTCATAAAAAGCCCACCTCCATAAGAGGGCTTTATTAGTGACATTTCAATTTATAAGATATCAGCTTAATTTTCCTTGATTGTTTCTGTAACCCAGATTTATCCTCATGATAACAAAAGGTCCTAAACATTGTCTATAATGCAGCCAATAAAGGTATCACTTAAAAAGTGTTCTGTAAACTGGGTCTCTAGAAGTGTGAAGCACTTTGCAGTGCTCTGCTCTGTCAGACTCGCCCTGTCTGATTTGGCTCTGTACTCCCCTGGCCTGTAGGTTCCTGCTGCTCTACATGCAGCCAGAAAATCAGAAGCCTCAACAATCTGCAACAGCTAAATACAAGCAAGTTTGCCAGCTAATGGTCAGTATCTGTTGATACTCTACTTGGGGCTTTTTGTTTTTTGAAAGGTCTCCATTACATTAAATGTATGTTAAAAGCTCTTTTTAAGCCTTTGAATGAGGATTTGCAGGATGTGGGGTCTAAATACTGGTGAACTTGGTTCTGTTGAGAGAGACTGTTCTGGCAGAATTTCAGCCGCGGCTGGTAGCAAGTTCCAGCAATCTTCTCAGAAGCATTCTTCCTATGAGTCTTCCTGACAAATTTGCAAACCAAACAGATTGGTATTGGCAGAGTATGGATACACATTTGGATTTAGGGAAGTGCACTATTGTGTACTGAAAAACAGAATTGAAGAAAATAGCTGCGCTTCTGTTGCACAGGCCTTAGACAGTTAACATTCAAGAATGCTTCTTTCTGCTATCACAGTACTTGTACTTCATTCCTTTATTCTGACTAAAGAACTACAGCATTTACCTTCCTGAACAAACTCCAAGAAGCTCATGTACTCCTAACTATTTTGCCTCTTGCTGTGCTGACGACAGATTCCCAGGCTACTATGGCTGCTTCTCCTCTCCCATATTTGGAAGTTGGCCTGCACACTGGAGATCCCTTGTGGGTTTCTGTTTAAATTCCAGAGTCACTGTTGCACATTACCATTTCCTTCAGCTGATGCAAATCAAATACGCCATGAGTGAAAGACATGAGCATAGGCTTGGCTAACTGCTTTGCGAGGGTAACTAGAATGAATGCAGAAAGTTTGTCTCAGGAGAAAACGTTTCACAGGCGCAGCATGCTTTGCACAGTGTGACAGTGCTGAGGCTACTGACCCTCATTTGGTAACAGTCTGCACACACTTTACCACTGCATACCACACTTAATTGCCAGTGCTAACACAGTATGCAACACTAAAGAATGACACACTTGCATGAAAAATATTGTTGCCTGGTACACACAGCCCAAAACATAAATGGGAATTTAATTTCATTCCTGAAAATTCAGGGCATCTGCAGCAAACTTTGTAGTCCTTAATTTTTGCTTCTCATCTTCCAAAAGCTCCAAGACAGCAGAACCCAAACATCTGCTGGTTTCAAAAAATGCTAAAATTTTTATTAACCAATGGTTATTTTTGTCAGTGGACTGAATATATGATATCATATGGAACAAAATACCTTAAATAGGAATGAGTTTTAAATATTTTAACAGTACTAACAGTTTATAGCCAAGCTCCTTTAGGACAGGATTTAAGAACCTCTCATTCCTATCTCTGAGTACTTACACGGGTAATGTCACCTCTGTAAATGATGCAAAAATCCAGTCTACTAACACTTGAAACCTATAGGAAAGTAAAAGAAGATCCCTGTGCTTTGTCTATGTGTAAGAGATTCATAATTTAATTCTTAATAGCTATGAATTTAGCTATAAGGGTGACTAAGAAAAAGACGACCACATTTTTAGCGTAGTTTAAAAAGATTCTAAACCAAAGATTATAAACGTAACATTTGTAAGGACAGTTTTTTCAAGCCCGGAAGTTTGCATAGATCAGAGTCATTCCGGATTCTTCCCTTTGCAGCATGATAAAATTCTCACTATAATCTTAATGATCTTTAAACCTATGAGTGGCACAGTGTTGAATACACACTGTCCTTTCTGTGACACCACTACATTTTAATGAGGAACAGAGAACCAAATATATACATTCACAGAGCAATCTTGCAATGAGTTCTACGGAATTTTCTGCAAGTACAAGGTCCAATTATGTGAAAATAACTCTAGGTTCAGGATCTCAGGCAGGAAGAAGGAAGTATTTTTGTATTAGGTTAATTTTCTTTCTTTATTATAATTACTTGAAGCTCCTCTGAGGTCTGAGTTTTAGTCAAGATGAATTAATGAACATGGTATCTTCATAATTTTCATTATGTTCAAAAGTATGTCAGTGTAGATTTATTCAGTGAATGTATCTCTCCACTGTATATGGAAGGAGTTTATACATATAGACAGAAAATTGCTGCTATCTAGCAATTTCTTTTTTAAGTATTGTCTAATTTGGCCATTTAGTACTTGCTGATGGCAGTAAACTCCTATATCTACTAACACAAAGCTACACATCTTCAGTGTGCATGCTAAGCCATAAAGAACCTATGAAAGAATTAAAGATCTTCATGATTATCCAGTAAAAAAGCAACTGAGAGTTCATTATCACTAAATATAGCATTATTTAATTTTAGCCAGTGGCTTCTCCAGAACTCCTGAGGCTTTGGCTTTGAATTGGAACATACTGTTCAACTGCTCGTGCCACTTGCAGCTGCAGTGCCATGTGCCCTGACCGCAAGATACCGAACTCTCTGAAATATACTACGGAAGAGGCTGCATTGCAGCTAGATTGTTTGTAAACACACAGTGTTCTCCTTTTTTCTACCAAAGCCCATTACCTTTGTATCCATGTATTTCACTTGAAGTAAAGACAGGATTTCTTTGCGTCATTAGAAGACTTCATTATGTATGAGAATATGAAAATTTATTATCTGGAGCAGGGAGACATTATGGTCCTAAAGTCAATGGAGATTTTTGTAAGCAGTAGAGTCTGCTGACATCAAGTTCTCTGCAGAAATGGGTTCAGCTGTACTCACCTGAGGTCTTATGAAATAGTAAAAGACATGGAAATAGTGTCTTAAAAGCTAATCCTCTCATTCTAACCACTTTAACTTCTTTGAGATACTAGTCACCACTGTCATGCTAATAATAGATACTGCTTCTTAACAACACTAAGATTTTTGTGTGGAAAGAAAAGGAGGTTCAGCAACTCCTTTTTTCTCAGCGGGGAATCCATTGTTGCATGTGTAATACCATATTGGAAGATGACAAAGGAATTCACACATTTCTACTTTGGGCTCAGTAAATGGAAAATATTGTGATCAAATTGATTGTTACTTTCTAACCATCTGTTAGGACCTGGAGAGTTAACGGAACTGTATAAACTGAAGAAATGATCTCACAGGAGCAGCACAATTAATGTATAATTATAGACTAAATAGTGCAAAGGGCAAAATAAACTGAAGTGTTTAAAAAAGTACCTGCTGCAAAGCTGTTACTTGTATGATGTCAATGTGACATCTGAATACTGCAAAAGAAAGAAAAAACACTGTAAAGGTAGTACTTGAAAAATAAAAAAGCAGTGCTGCATGTATTGCGTCTAATTGTGGGGAATTTTGCCAGATGTGGCTGCAAAAATTAGGTAGCCACAGGAATAACAGGCAGGGAACTTCAGTGATGGCCCTGCAGTAGTCATGTAGTACAGACAATAAAAATTTACTTTTGCATGTGCAAAAATTACACCAATATAATCCAAATAGCAAAACAAACTCTTCATACCAACATACAGTCTAAATAGAAACAGTCATAAACAGTCAGGTGTGTAAAGTCTCAGAAGGCTACCAAATATGTCCATCTGTTATATTTTACCTCTAATATACTTATTAGAGCCACCAAGACAGCCTTTTAAAATTATAACGCTTTTTTTCTTTGAAACATATTCTTGCACATGCATATTTCACCCAAATTGCAATAGACAAGATCCCAGACTTAAAGCAATTATTTTTAATCAGCCTATGTGCAAGTCCCAAAAAAGACTAAATACGTGGTTTATTAGGTTTGCATACTCCCACAGAACAGAATTTAGCAGATTATTAGTTCATAACACAGACTAATTGCTTTTTGTAATTCCCAGCTGCTGCACATTACTATCCAGAAGGATTTTTATGTGTGTGCATTATTAGTGATCCACAGTATGCTAAAGAGACAGCGCTGGGAATGCATGTTCCTAGTATGGAACAGTAAGTACATGCTATATAGCCAGTAGCTAACAACAAAAAACCTTTCATGGTGCATAGTTTAAGTGATTTCATACACTCACTACCGCTGAGAGGCTGTTATTTTAAGTATGTTGTGAATAATGCGATTTGATTATCTTTTATCAAGCCTACAGGTACACCTCTTTCCAAACAATACCAGATTGTACAACATGGAAATCAGTCTTCTGACTTCTACCACTGCAGATTCGAAAAATACACATACATAAATACAATTCCCAGTATACTAAACGAAGGAGGACAACAACAAAAAGAAATTCAGAGCTAAAGGTGGTGTGAAGATTTCTAACTCTGCGTCAAATGCAGCTTTCTTAACTTTTTAGGCCTACAACTTGTAACTATCTGTGAAGCTCCAACAATGACAACTCTGGTACTAGAAGTTACAAAGACAGATCCTCATGCATACCAGAAGCCTTAATGATTTAATTTCTCTTTCTGTACATAAATGCGCCTGCTGGTAGGGCTGACTGTGTTCAAACGCTGCACAGAAAGTGTACTATTTTGCTCTGAAACACTTAGGAGTGAAAGCTAGTCTGACAGGACCATTGATTTATAGCTTAAAATAGCACCAGGACAAAAAGAAAATACCTAAAAACCAGAAATAATTTTCCAAATCTAATTCTGCGCTCGTGTTATCAAGCAGAGGAAGAAGTACAGACCGCAGCCCTGTAACCCTTTACTCACACACTTTATTACCACGAGTACTCCCAATGTCACAAGAGACACTGCACAGGCCACGCTGGAGAGAGAGCGGGCAACGTTGCAGTCCGTATGAGCTCACCTCCTAAGTTTTATTAAGGCTGGCAGCGGTACGTGCGGCCTTAGGACAGCGGGCTCCTGAGTCACGCACTGTATGTGAGGAGCGGGCCTCTGGAGGCGGGCAGGCAGCGGTGGGCACAGCCTGCCCTACGGGGCCGAGGCGCTCCGCTCCCGAGAGAGCAGCCAGCGCCAGTCGTGCTCCAACTATAGCGCTACGGGAATTAATGTTACTCTCTGGCTACGGTTTCTACTCCTTCCCCCAAACCATGTCGCTCACCTAAATGTACTCAGACGAACGCCCGTGCCGCTGTTATCACCAGAGGCTGTAACGGGAAAACCGTATGCCCTGATGCACTCTCCCCCTACTTGGGGCTCCCAGCAAGCCACGCTGGGCCACCACCGCTGGGCATTGCTCTCCCGACTGAGAGCTGCCGGGGTGGTGGCCGCTGCCCCGCCGCGCCCCCCCAGCCTCAGAGAGGCTGCCGGCGAGGAGCGGGACAGCGAAGACACCCCTCCCCACTTCAGACGGGGGGCGGGCGGGAAACTCCCCGCCGCCTCTTCTCAGGGGGACGGAAGCGGTTGGGACCGCGCCCCGGGCGTGCCGGGCCAGGGGGTTCCGTACAGGCTGCGGGCGCCCTGAGGGCAGACGGCGCACCCCTGAACGGAAGGCAGTCGCCTCATGGGGGGGGGAAGAGATCGCGGCTGCGGCGTGAGGAGCTCTCCCCTCGGGAAACCGCCCGAAGCGGCGGCTGAGAACAGCAGGGGGATGCGGGCGAGGGGAGTCCCCTCCCCAGTCATTCCCAGCCACCCGCACCCCTCCAGGCACGCTCGACTCGGCCCCACAGTCCCAACCCGCACAGTCAGCCGGACGGGGCGTGGCCCAGGAATCCCGTTTCTCCTCCCGTTCCCTCGGCCACTCTATCCCGGCACCTCGGCTTTAATCGTCTCCTTATATGGACACCAGAATGTCTGACGTCACCTCAACGCTGGGAAACCAGCGCCCGCGCAACCAAGCTTGGTCGGGAAGGCGGGTGTTGCGGAAAGGCGGCGGGGCGGAGGGAGAGGGAGGCTCTGGAATGTTGATGGACGCGGCAGTGCGCCACTGGGAGCGGCGGTCCCAGCTCGGCCATTGGGGGAGGGCGGCCGAGGGGGCGGGGAGCCGTGGGAGGGTTAGGTTGTGGTGATTGAAAATCCGCCGCCTGGCTGCAGCGCTGTGCCAGTGTGGGGTGGGCGCTGCCAGGGGAAGCGGGAGGATAGCGAGTTCGAGTCCCGCTTCCGCGAGCTTCAATTAGGTGCTGCTTCCCCGGGCTGTTGCAGTCCGCTCCGGGGCGAGTGGAGCTCCGGACGGGCCTCTGTTTTCCTTCTCTTCTTCGTTTGTTTCCTTGAGCCGAGGCCGCGGTGTTCTTAGTGGGGCGCCAGCCCACAGGGACAGAGTTTGCCAGGAGTTTGTGAGGACTTTGGGCCCCGGCGCCGCCGCCATGCCCGTCTTCCACACGCGCACTATCGAGAGCATTCTGGAGCCGGTGGCCCAGCAGATCTCCCACCTGGTCATCATGCACGAGGAGGGGGAGGTGGACGGCAAGGCCATTCCGGACCTCACCTCCCCCGTGTCGGCCGTGCAGGCCGCTGTCAGCAACCTGGTGCGGGTGAGTAGCGGCGGCTCCTCCGCTCCCTTTCACGGCAGCAACTTCGGCCGCCGCGGCCAGCTTTGGGGTCCCGCGGCCGTGGAGGCCCCATACAGGTGTGCCAGCCCTCCTCCCCGCGCCCGCGATGGCCGCCCGACCGGCGCTCCGGGAGGGAACGACTTCCCCGACGGTGCCGCCTGTAGCAATGGCTGAGGCAGAGGCCAGGAAGGGGTTAAGTTGGGAGGCTTTCTGGACCTCTGCGGCTTCTGTCTGGCAGCCGTCTCTGGCTATTCGGGCAGCGCCGAAGGGCAGTGAGTTATCCGGAAGAGCGAGTTGTTCACCGTTTTGCTGAGGGACGAAGTCTGCCTTTTCCCCACCTGAGGAGCTGCATAATGATAAAGTGCAGTGAAGTGCTGAAGCCGCTGCTGGTTGTACCGCCCTCTCCACTCGCTGTGGGGTGCACCCTAAAACGGCTCACAGATGTCTCTGATATGCTGTGTGGTTTTTGCTGTCTTGGAAACTCCTATTTTAAGTGTATGCGCTATAAAAGGCAAAATACTTACTTGGTGTGATCCTACCCTGAAAAAAAAACCCACAAGCCTCCCAGGCATGTGGTTTGGTTTTTATATTGGTGGAAGCTGGCAGTTCCTTATCAGCGCAGGAGTTGAGGACAGAGTCGAGGAGGGACAGACCTGTGGTTTACAGGCAAAGTTTGGAGTTGTAACTTGCTCTGTTACATAGCCTCGAGTGTGAGTTACTGTTTTCTTGTGCAGAAACTAAAGGTGACTGAAAATCGGCTTGAATCTCTCTACTTCTTGAAAGCAGCTATGCATAGCATGTCTCATTAACATCTGAGTATTTGCAGTATGGACGTTTCAGTTGGGGAAGTGCAAATGACTCATACATTTGAAATGTTTTAGTTGCATTAGTACTTATATAGCCAACTGCATCAAAAGAATAGCAAACCGTTGCAAGGCAGAAATGTCTTGCTTGATATAGAAAGTACTGCAATGTTGCATACCGCTCTATTGCATTTAGAATTGCATAGTATTACTTACCTTGCACGTAAGTTCAGTTTTGAACATCAGATGTTACTTGCTCACTTTGAATCCTGTAAAATTCTCAAATCATTCAAGGCAAGTGATATCCTTGCCATTAAAATTTAGCTTAAAATGAAATACCTGCATACAGTTAAAATAATTGGGTTGCTATTAACTGATGTGTTAATACATTGAGATCATAAGGACTGTGGGTATAAGCTGTCAAGATGACTAATGTATGTGATGTGTTTATTAGATTTCAGCCTGTAGTACTTTCTACTGCTAGAATAATTTGCCACTTTGAGGTTTTGCAGTTTATACAGTGTAACTACAGCCCTTGGTCCCCATGACTCCATGAATTTTACAGGACCTACTGTCTGGAACGCTTCCACTTCTTGCTGACTTTAGCTGAAACTCTTGTTTTTAGGAAGAACAATTGGTCTGCAGCAATGAAGTGATGTAATAGGTGTATTGGCTGTAAGGATATGAAGCCTGAGTATATGAAATACTTTTCCTTGAAAGGAAGACTTCAGAATAATGCTTTGCTTCTTTGAGCTCAGCCTGTTATTACTGGGTTGTATGACTATTTCCCCCCACTGCCATTCTCAGAAGAAACCTGATCTGATAAAGTTGCACTTATTGGAGAAGTTGAGAAAAAGAATTAGTTTTTTCTGCAGCTTGGTAATGCCAGCTCTTCTTTCATTTTGGACTGTTTTGGAAACCCGGTTTTCACTTCTTGCTGCTAGCTAGACAAAAGGAAAGACTGTTGAATTATTTTCTGTGTTAATTCACAAAGAGCAAGCAGAAGTGTAATCTGAGGTGGTACTTAAAAGGAAGATGCCCTGATCTAGCAGAATACAGCTATGACTACATTACGAAAAATACTGAATTAAAGTTCTGTTTCCTGTCTGGAGCCGTGTTTTCAGTGCGTCATTCTGAAGTGCAGAGGTGATCCATGAAACTAGTTTCACAGGAGCAGGATAGCTTATCTCATTGTAAGTCTTCTGGTGGCTACACAGGTGACAGCAAAGATGGAATTGTTAGCATAACCAAGACAGTAATGTAACTGATAGCTCTTTATGTTGCTTACTGTCTGCTTCGGGTTCTTTTTGTAGCATGAGTATCACAAAGTTCGTGATGGTAGGTACTGATCAGCAGTGAAATTTTGCAGTAATAACTTGTCACACAGCAGCACCATTCTCTGACTGCTCAGCCTATATTAAGGACTCCACAGCTTGGAAGGTGCAATATTCCTGAAACTATTGCATCTGTAAGGAACTGCTGGTAGCAGTGTTTGAAGTGTTTAGATCCATTCTTGTGCAAGGTCTAGGAGATGTGCTGTGTGGGGAAATGGGCTAGGCTGTTGAAGTTATTAAATCAATCTTTACAAGTTGGTCTTCCCCATGTTAGATACCATGGTATGCTTACTTTCTATGTTAGTTGCCAATATGTGGCAGTTCAGTTCTACTGCATCTTGAATATTCTCTTGGGAGATAGCTTTTGCAGAGTAATACTGAAATTGTTTTGAAGTAACTTGACAAAATTTCTTAACTATGAGGTAAGGTGCATATTGCCCATGCAAAATTTTTGCATGTAGAGGTAAGTGGCAGGCAGTTTTTTTGCACCAAAATAACCTTTGACTGAAGCCAAGAATTTGAGGGAGAGGCTTCAGATTAATATCACAAGATTAATAATGTACTAAGTCAGTCCTTTTTTTTAACTGAGGATCTTAATGTTTTTGTTGGCTGATACTTGGGGTGGATATGTCTCTCTTATGGGAGGGTTGGGGTTTGGTTTGGTATTTCTTGTAGCTAAAGGTGTGACACCATAATAAGACAACAGAACTGGTTGGGAGAGGGCGAAAATATTCAAGCGCAGTAGGGTGGGAATAATTTAGAGCTTGTTATATAGACTATTTAGTGGGCAATGAAATGAAACTGTGAATTCTAACTGATCAAACTTCACTAGGAGGAAACGAACCATATGCTGGTTTTCAATTATTTTTTTTTTTGTAACTCATTCGTCAAACTTTTAGCCTATTTTAAAAGGAGGAGTTTCTATAAAAGACAACTAAGGATAATGCAGAAATTTTAAACCTATCACATGTTATATAAAATAACTTTATTTCATAGAGGAGAAAAGTCTTTTCTTTCTAGCAGTGAATTTAGAAGCATTTATGGCCAGAGTATTGTTATATTACTGCCAGTTGGAAAAAGCAAGTTCTCCTCTGATGTTTTGAACTTCATTCACTTACTACCTTGTATGGATTCTAGCTTTCTGTCAGTACAGGCATAGCCCACTCATGTCACTTCGCTGGTTTGGACAGAACTGCTTCAGAGCAGTATTGCTGCTGCTCTGCTGAATACCAACAGTACCATGGGTGAAGCTGTTGAGTTCTGACACACTAGGAAGTAATTCTTTGCATGAGAGTTAAGGTAGTAGAGGGGAACCTGAGAAGGGACTTGAGAAGTACACATAATTTAAATAGTGCATCAGGATCGGTGACTCAAGGAGGTGCTGGCTTTTCAGGGGCTGGGTCGTTGAACCAGGTCAATGCTCTGAAAGATCTGACCTGCTTTACCTGAGAACAAATGCCTGACCGTTATCCTGTTTTTCTGTCCTTCATTTTATCTGAGCTGGAGCCATCTGAGGACAGTGACATGGGTATAAAATTCTCATAATGAAAGATTGAAGACATAGTCACAAATGAAATGGCTGAGAAGTTTCAGGACAGCAATCTGCTCTGGAAGTCCAGCACCTGCCTATGTGATGGTGCAGCTTCTACCTTTCCATCTTCCATTCTATAGGTGCTGTCCTTTTGTATTTGAATGTGTATGTTTTATAAGTGTCTACATGCATCCAATTTCTATTACATTATTTTTAATATAGAAAAATTGCCTTACTGTCTATTAAATTGTTAACCATTAAATTTCTCAAGAGTGTATTCTTGATGGATGCTGTGATATGCCTTTGTTTTGGTGCTGAGATTTGGAAGCTTAAAGTATAGCGACATCTTTCAGCATCTCTGTCACTAACTGCAGCTGGCAGGTCAGGCAAGGCATCAGCAAGGGTCTCTCAACTTACAAATACCCTGTCTTGTAGTCATAGTTTGTCAGATCATTTAAGTAGAGCTGGGTCAAGCACTATCTTTAAAAGTGGAAAAAAAATAAAAAATAATGCTGTCTTGAGTAAGATTAAGCCTAACTGGAGATTAATGAGAACAACACCCTGTAGTGGTGGGTTAAAGTCATACATGTCGGAGGGTTTTGTCACTTGCTAAAGTTGTGAGGTCAGTCTATTAAAACTACTGCCAGCTGAAGCCCACATCATCTAGGCACAACTAAACCTACAGAATTTACTCTCAAAACTGGTGGAAATCTCTACCAGTACTCAGGCAGTGACAAAGTTTAAAAACAACAAACTCAAACAACCTGAACTGTTGAAGAGTTACATTTAGTGTAGCTATAGCAGCTGTCTTATCATTGTAGTGGATGAGGAAGTAATGATGACCTGAAGCCATCAGCATGTTCTCAGTTTATATCCCTGGGCCTCTGTCAAGTGAGAAGTTGCTTGGAGTTACAGATCCATGCAGGAAGAGCTGTGCATTTTCCCTGAAGAGGCTGTAAATTGCCTACTAACACCTGCAAAAACACCTGTTTGGAAACTGCCTGTGTAAATCCGAAAAACTTAGCTTGCTGTGAAATCCTTGTCATGATTGCAGCAGCAAAAGTTGAATACCTGGCGAAACATTTGGAATGAGGAGAAATGGTCTGACTGTTTTGGAGAGTGGATGGGAAAACGGCTTTTTCATCCTTAAGTGTTCTTCTAGCATAGCTGACTTGCCTGTATCTGAGGGTACGCAAGAGAAGTGAGCTGTTGAGGACATCTTAGTGTTTATTGAGAGGAAATCAGCTTGCAATATTTATGGGTTTATTTATTCACTTATCTTGAAAGAGGATGGAGAAGAAAAGAAAAAGGTAA